ACCCTGTATTGGCCCGATGTCCTCCCCACCCCCACCCATTCACCCCGGCAGGGCGGGCCCGGGGTAGCGCAGGGGCCTCCGTGGGCCCAGGCACGTCCGCGTTCCGCGTCTTCTCCGCGCACCAAGACTGGCCTGGAGGGGAAGGAAGGGACTCCAGGAGGCTCCTTATGCCAGGATCGTGATGGGGGCGATCGTGTTGCAAGTCTGGCCGGAGCCTTTCGTGGCTGGGCGGGAGCGAAGGCTGCCCCCACTGTGGCTGCAACTCATTACAGAGCCTCGCGCGGCCGGGCGTCACGGACCCCAGCCAGTGGGACGAGGAGGATCCCTGGCCCACTGGGTGCAGAGGAACGCTGGGGACCTGCGCGACCCCGCCTTGCCCCCCCCCCCCCATGGTCCAACCTCTTCTCCAACTGCAACACCTAGAGGGTCTGTGTGCCCAAAGGTCCTGCGCAACCTTCACAACTTTTCAGATGGGTCCTGGAAAAAAAATTCTCCCGATTCAGTGAACTGGGAAGGAAGCAGGAGGTTTGGGACATTTTCAGCCTCGCCCACCACCTTACAAAGTAGTAGATAGCTTAGGGTATAAACTGGAAAACACGGAAATGTGTGAATAATTAGATTCCTCCTCAAACAAAGCCCCGAGAATCTTACTTCCCCAAATCAAATTCATTTACTGGAATGTTTCATGCTTTGACGTGTCTATTTTTTTTTTTTACGTACTTGATAACTCTGCATAAATCATTTAGTATCTTGCTTTTTTCTCTTTTGCTTTTAAAATATTTTTAATTAATTTATCGAGGGAGGTGGCTTGTGTGTCGGTGATAGGGTAACTTGCAGGGGTCAGTGCCCCCGTTCACCACGTGGGCTCCAGAAATCAGACTCAGTTCACCAGGTTTGGGGGCAAGCACCTTTACTGGCTGAGACATCCCATGCTTCCTCCCCTCCCTCGACTTTGTAGTCATTCTCCTGCCTCAACTTCCTTAGTACTAGGATCACAAGCATGAGGCACCCCACACCTAACTTTGTTTTTTTGTGTTTACTCTCTTACATCTTCCGTTTCTTTAAACACATCCTAAATATGGGTAAATGGTTCTACGCTAAGATTATTGTACAGGAAGCTTCGAGAATTTACTGTTCTGTGGATGTGTCCCTGTGGATACTGATAAGGGAAAGGGACCTGGTCTTGAAATAGCAACCAGGCCTTTTGTAGTTCCCAAACATTTCCTTCTTTGCCTCTGTTAAAAAGAAAGAAAAAAGGGAGGGAGGGAAAGAGGAAGGAAGGAAAGAAGGAACAGTTAAATTCATGGTTTCTGACTATGGTGACATTTGACAAGTTCTTGTTTTTCAGTTTTCCGGGCATTATCTATTTCTCTCGAGCTTTAAAATCGTATCATCAAATCAGTACTTGGAAGCCTGCAAGGAGGAGGCGGTACACAGTGTTTCCCAAGGCCCCCAAGTGCAGGCCTTGGTTACAGTTCAGCCCTCCCAGGTTCCCAGTAGACCGGGCAGGCTGGGCTAATAGGTTCAGCAGCTCCCATGGGGTCAGTCTCAAAAAGAAGTCATGGATTACATGCTGAATAATCATAATAATTACCTTATTAAAAGTCCCTTGGAGCCGGGCGGTGGTGGCGCATGCCTTTAATCCCAGCACTCGGGAGGCAGAGACGGGTGGATTTCTGTGAGTTCGAGGCCAGCCTGGTCTACAGAGTGAGTCCCAGGAAAGGGGCAAAGCTACACAGAGAAACCCTGTCTCAAAAAACCAACCAACCAACCAAACAAACAAACAAACAAACAAACAAAAAAAAACAAAACAAAAAGTCCCTTGGAGCCGGGTGTCCCTTGGTGGCATAGCCTTTAGTCTTAGCACTCAGTAGGCAGGGGCAGATGGATCCCTCCTGAGTTTGAGGCCAGCCTGGCCTAGGTAGACTTTCAGGACTGCCAGGGCTGGGTAGGGAGACCTTGTCTCAAAAAACAGGAACAAAAATCACAAAGACCCCCTTAGAGCCATGTGGTGGCTCGGGTCTATAATCCAAACCCTTGGAAGGTTGAGACAGAAGGACAAATTCAAGGACAGCCTGACTTACATTGTGAAACCGGCTCAAAAAGGGTCCCTTGGGAAGACAGTCCCAGACTGCCACTTGGTGCAGGCCCATTGAAAATCATGGTGCAGAATCTGTTAGCCAAACCTGAGTAGTCAAAAGGACTCTGGGTAACACCCTGAAGTTGCAATATTGCCTTTAAAGTTTTTTTTTCTGTTTTTTAAGGGCTGTTTGTTTTTAATTTTTGTTTGTTTGTTTTTAATTTTGGGGGAGGATTTTGTTGTTGTCTTGGCTTTTTTAGTTTCTTGAGACCTGATCTTCCTATGTGGTTCTGCCTAGCCTGGTACTATGTAAGCCCAGGTTGGCCTGGAATTCATAAAATCCTTCTATCTCAGTCTCCCTAAGGCTGGGATCATAGGAGTATGCCAGCATGCTGGCCTAGCATTGCATTAGGCTACTCTCATGAGAACCAACCTGCACACTCTTGACCACTAATGGGGTCATACCAACCCTGGGTGGCAGGGGCGCTGGCTTCCTTTTTACGTTTGTAGGAACTGAGGCTGGTGGGGTAATTGCCTACCTGTCCTGTCACTGACAGCATGTGCTAGTTTCTCTGCTTGGCTTCTGTGGAGGGGGCTGGTCTCGGGGAAACCCTTATACATGGTGTCCAAATGGCCACAGCACAACTTACTTCAGAGTACCCACCTTCCTGTTTGGCTGCACACTCAACACCCCAAGGTTTTCTCTCAGGTGACCCCAGAATCAGGCCTGCTTGCTCAGAACCATAAATACAGCTCCCTGGCTGCACATGGAGCCCCATTTTGCCTTGATCTTAAATTCAGTTACGCCGGGCCGGTGGTGGCACACGCCTTTAATCCCAGCACTTGGGAGACAGAGGCAGGCAGATCTCTGTGAGTTCGAAGCCAGCCTGGTCTACAGAGCAAGATTCAGGACAGGCACCAAAGCTACACAGAGAAACCCTGTCTCGGAAGAACCAAAAAAGAAAAAAGAAAGAAAAAAAATCAGTTACATTCATGTCCTCTAAAGGTAGCTCCTAGCCCTTTGATGCTTTTCAAGACTGCTCTGGAGCCAGAGAAATGGCTAACTGGTTAAGACTGCTTAATGCTCTAATAACGGAGTTCAGTTCCCAGCACCTACCCACATCACGTGTGGCTCACAACCTTGTGTAATGGCAGCTCCAGGGCACCTGGCACCTCTCACCTCTTGGAGCACCTGCACTCATGGGCACATGCTTCTACCCCCCCCCCTGCATAATTAGAAAGGGAAAAGATGTCTTTGGCCAACCCTTCTAGGTGGGCTTGCTGTTCCTTCTTTCAGACTCGTCCTCTGTGCTTGTCAAATTAGGGAATAGTGGCTTTTTCAAGCTATAAGAACTGTCTACTGCCTGCTCAACATTTTGCAGAAGAAGCCATCTGGTCACCCGGCTAGTTATGTCACTGGCTAGACCACTGGCAGCCCTGAGCTTCGTTTGCTAGAATATGCAGCCTAGGGATCTGGCTATTTCCTTGGCTCTGGGCAGTCCTGAGGTTGACTTCCTGATCTAAGCAGATAGGTTTCTGGAGCCCTAGGCTAGGCAGGGACAGACCCTCCTACACTCAGAATGGTTATTAAGGGGATAAAGAATCTTGAGTAATGCAGATTCTGCCTCTTTTTTTGTTGTTGGGTTTTTTTGTTGTTTTTTGTTTGTTTGTTTTGTTTTTTGTTTTTCAAGACAGGGTTTCTCTGTGTAGCTTTGGGGCCTGTCCTGGATCTCACTCTGTAGACCAGGCTGGCCTGGAACTCACACAGATGCACCTGGCTCTGCCTCCCGAGTGCTGGGATTAAAGGCGTGTGCCACCACTGCCCTGCTAGATTCTGCCTTTAACTTGCAAACTTTCCTGATAAACTGACTTTTTTATGGCTGTGGATTGGCTAATCACCTGACCCTTGACTGGAAGACAGGGAGAGGGCAGTGTCACAAAGGACATCTTTCAAAGAAATAATACTTAAAAGAAACCATGCAGAGAGAAAACACCTCTTCCTTCCTGCCCAGACTCAAAGCTTACATATAGCTAGTATCTTAATTTTTTCCCCAAGTGATTTAAATTTTATTTTAAGACATTATTGAAAGCATATAGCATGCTCACACTGCTGGGGTTTATTGCCAGGGCTTTATAGCGAGAAATCCAAGGAAGTCTGCTTAAGGGGTATAATGAATTTATTAGGACATAAATTGGAAAAGACAACTCACTAAACAGAATAGGCGAGTCGTTCAAATCATCACAGGGTCCTGGAAGGCTGAGGTCCTGTCTCACACTGTTCTGCCTGCTGAGTTAGTCACGCACCATCCAAGCCCATGAGGGAGAGAAAACGAGCAGCATACAAGCCTCTCAGGTCTTAAGAGTAACCCTGAGGCCACTCCCCAGGGGCTGGTACTTCAAGGTCATAGGTGGAAAGGTAGCCTCTACAGGGCTTCAAAACTAATTCTGGCTCAGAGGACCTAGGTTACATTCTTAGCACTCAGGTGGCAGCTCAGAACTGCCTGTTAACTCCAGTTCCACAGAATCTGGCACTCTACTTTGTCCTCCTCAGGCATTACACACACAGTGCACACACATACATGCAGGCAAACACTCGTACAGGTTAAAATAAAAACAAATCTTTTTTAAAAAATTCTTTTCTTTAAGATCTTATTATTTATTTATATATATGAGTGCTTTATCTGCACGTACAACTTTATGCTAGAAGAGAGCATCAGATCCCACTAGAGATGGTTGTGAGCCACCATGTGGTTGCTGTGTTGAACTCAGGACCTCTAGAAGAGCAGGCAGTGCTCTTAACCACTCAGCCATCTCTTCAGCCCTAAAAACAAATCTTAAAAATAAAATAAATACTGCAGCCGGGAGGTGGTGGCACACACCTTCAATCCCAACACTTGGCAGGCAGAGCCAGATGGATCTCTGTGAGTTCAAGGCCAGCCTGGTCTACAGCACGGATCCAGGACAAGAACCAAAACTACACAGAGAAACCCTGTCTCGAAAAACAAAAAACAAAACAAAACAAAAATTAAATAAGTAAAATATTGTATAATGTGGTGTTTTATAATTTCAATATTACTTCAGTTCTACAATTTGCTTTTCTGACTTTAACAAATGATTTATTTTGTTTTGTTTGGGATAGGGTCTTGCTAGAAAGCCCAGGCTGACTTGGAGCTCGCTGTAACTGTATAGCTGAGGCTGGTCTCAACCTTGCCATCTCTTCTTGCCTTGGGCTCTGGAGTGTTGGCAATACAGGTATGAACCACTATCAGTGATTTCTGGATCTTTGAAAACACTAATGTGTAGGATACATATGAAGAAGTGTGCTTATCACAGAGGTACAGTTTGATGGCCTTCCCAGACAGAATCCCCTCAAGTCACCTCAGATCAGCAAGTATTTCCAGCACCCCTCTGTAGCAGTTCTTGTCACTGCTTTCTCTTCCTTCTTTTCAGAGACGTGCCTGCTGGGAGTCAGAATTTTGCCTGGTTGAATGGCAGCATGAGGCGGTACGCCCCAGAAGAAACAGTTCCTTGTCTCTTGCCGGGGTGAAGTCAAAGGCAGAGACCTTGGCCACAGAGGAGAGTCTGAGGGCAGACTAGGTCTAGATCCAGAGATATTCAAGGCTGGAAGAGACTTTGGAAAGAGGCAATAACCAAGGTGTCAAACAACCTAAGTAGCAGACCCAGGATGCAAGGCCAGACCTCCAAACAATCCAGCATTGTTTCTTTTTGGCTTTGTGGATGTTTTATGTAAATATAACCCAAGCAGGGGGAGCAGGGTGTACCAGGAAAAGAGACTTCCTGTGTCTGGCTGAGCATGGACATTGTGGCAGGCCGTGAACAAAGGTGCATACAGTTGTATCTCTCCTCCACTCTCCCATCCAAGTCCCAGACCTGGTCATTTCCAGGACCAAATGAGATGAAGCATGCTCAGGGCAATATGGCAGTATCCTCTCCTGATCCATCCTGCGGGAGATAACCAAGCTGTCCTTTAGTTGTTTTTGAAATCATCTCTAACAGTATCTGACTCAATCTTCCCCAAACTGTGAGATACCTTAGGGCCCTACAACAAAGTTACAGAGGTACCTCAAAATATTTATTGAGACAGGGTCTTACCATGTAAACCTGGCTGGCTTGGAACTTACTATGTAGACCAAGCTGGCCCTGAACTCAAAGAGATCTGCTTGCCTCTGTACCACCACACCAGCTCATATTTTATTTTATTTATGTATGGATTTGGCTTTTTTCAAGACAGGTGTATCCCTGGCTGTCCTGGAACTCACTCTGCAGACCAGGTTGGCTTTGAATTTAGAGATCTGTCTGCCTCTGCCTCCCAAGTGCTGGGATTAAAGGTGTACACCACTATATCTGGCCTTATATTTTATTTTATTAATAAATAAAATTAACTATTTATCCCAATTAATTCAAAAAAATTAAAACACCACACAACTGGTTTTAGGAAGCCATTCAGACACTTGTCCAGTTCTTATCTCACTTAATTTCTCTGGAGTCAGAATGGCTGTTGAGAAGCCATGGAGCTTTACGTAGGGTTTCACACAGTTTTTTTTTTTTTTTTTTTTTTTTTTGGTGTGTGTGTGTGTATGTGTGTGTGTGTGTCTGTTTTGTTTTGTTTTTGTTTTTGTATTTTTTTTTTTCTGAGACAGGGTTTCTCTGGTAGCTTTGCGCCTTTCCTGGGACTCACTCTGTAGATCAGGATGGCCTTGAACTCACAGAGATCCACCTGTCTCTGCCTCCTGAGTGCTGGGATTAAAGGCGTGCTCCACTCACACTGTTAATCACATTATATTCACTTATCCAACACCTACACACACCATGACTGACTTGAAACTAGATCAACAATGGTTTATATCCTCTTTCATGACTTATGTCCTTTTGCCTGAAAAAAGAATTATAATTTCTTTTAGACAGGGCCTTCTGTAGCTTTGCTTGGCTCAAAAGTTCATCTATAGTGGAGGGTAACTTTGAATTCCTGGTCATCTTGTCTTTACCAAGCCTGGGGTATTTTATTTTATTTTATTTTTTTTGGTTTTTCGAGACAGGGTTTCTCTGTGTAGTTTTTGGTTCCTGTCTTGGATCTCACTCTGTAGACCAGACTGGCCTCGAACTCACAGAGATCTGCCTGTCTCTGCCTCCTGAGTGCTGGGATTAAAGGTGTGTGCCGCCGCCGCCGCTGCCCGGTACCCGGCACCCAGGGTATTTTATAAATACTCAGGAAAACACAATGATACCTGGTATCTGCCATAATGGGCATGGCCTAGTAAAGGAAGTGCAGTTTCCGAATTAGCCTGCATTAAGTTCCTTTGGATGGTGTCAAGTCTTCACAGAGCTAGGTCTTGGTAGATGCTGTGTTAAAATGCAGGCACCGTGTGAAGCCTGTTGGGGAACAGGAAACGACAGCAGTTCTGTGCGATCTGATGGTAAGGTTTGGGAAATTGTGTAATGTTCAACAGGTGTATACATCCCATTAGGAAGTAATAGCATGGGGCTGGAGAGATGGCTCAGAAGTTAAGAGCACTGGCTGTTCTTCCAGAGGCCCTGAGTTCAATTCCCAGCAACCACATAATAGTTTATAACCATCTGTAATGAAATCTGGTGTCCTTTTCTGGCCTGCAGGGATGCAGGCAGAACACTGTATGCATAATAAATAAATAAATAAATAAATAAATAAATAAATAAATAAATAAATAAAAGTAATAGCAGTTATTGAGAAGCAAAATAAAAAGACTGACTTATTTTCATGTGCATACATCATTTTTATAAGGAACTACTAACCTTTCAGAGCAGAAATACTTCAAGTGGTTTGGACTTAACTGCTAAGGAAAGAGATAAGTCAGAAGTTTCTCTTGTCCTTGGGGCTGTGCGACCTTTGCCCAGGCCTCCAGCTCTCTGAGATCCAGTTCCTCAGGCTACTGGCAGCATCTCTAGCACTTTTCACCAACTGGATGCTCAGCCGCTAGACCAGAGTCCAGGCTGTGAAACCAGGCTTGGGCAGTAACAGGGAGGCCATCCACTTGGGGCTGGTCCAGATGTCTGGGGTCTGAAGCACACACAATTGTTGGAGACTTCTTTAAAGACAATAATGCAAAATGAGAGGTCTGAGACTGGGTAGGCAGCTTGCAAGGGGCTTATGAAGCCCATGAGGGGCCCTGAAGCTTAAGATTCCTCCATTTAATTAGCCTCTGGGACTAGCTGGTAAAAAGCAGAAATATAATTCCAACCCAGTCTTGTCTGACTCTCAAGATACAAGATGTGGATTTCCTCTTACTAAACATAAAAAAAAAAAAGAGAGAGAGAGAAAAATCGGGGTTGTAAAAATATTTCTAAAACTAGAGCCTAGCAAGGTCACTCCTAAAGGATCTGGGAGTGGGGATGCCTGCGTCCTCTGATTAGAGGTTTGTGAAAAGCAGCAGGTGTGGGCTTTGGCATCAAACATAGGTTTGAAGCTGGACACAGTGGCACATTCCTGTAATCCTAGCCCTGAGAGGTTGAGGCAGGAATACCGGCGAGTTTGAAGCTAGCCTGGGCTTATAGCAAGATTCTCCAAACAAAAACCGATAAGCAAACAAAACTACCAGTGCATGAATGAGAAAGCACAAATGAATGGATGATACGGTGGTTTGAATTCTAGCTCCCCTACCTCCTAGATCTGTGACTGCGGAACTCACTTCCCATTTCTGTTGTACATGCTGCCGCTGGAACAGCTTTGGGAAGTGGGCTTTGGGACGTGCCCTCCATTCGTACAGCTGCTGACATGCATTTCATGGATGGAAAAACGCCAGTCATGACGGAACCATTTACAAGTGATTGAGTGCAGAGTTGAACAGTTGAGCAACAGCACTTAGACCCAGGACACTCTACTAGTGAGATAAGCCCTAGCCCTGGTTTGTTGACAATGTGTAGCCCAGTCTGGCCTTGAACTTTCAGCCCTTTCCCTGACTCTCAAGTACTGTGATTATACGTCTACACCAACACTTCTAACTCAAGCAATAACTTTTTAAGCAATACCTTTTTAAGGACTCTGCCCAGCTGCAACCCCTTGGTAGCATGTCATAACCAATTTTTTTAAAGAATTATTTATTTATTTATTTATTTATTTATTTATTTATTTATTTATTTATTTATTATATAGAAGAGGGTTCGAGATCTCATTACAGATGGTTGTGATCCACCGTGTGGGTGCTGGGAATTGAACTCAGGACCTCTGGGTGAGCAGTCAGTGCTCTTAACCTCTGAGCCATCTCCCACCAATTTTTCATCAGGAGAGCCGTCTATGGCATCGTGGAACTCCGTTTTCAACCTGCCCATTTGCTGTTAGCAAGCATGAAAGTGAGGGACTGGAGAGAGCACTCAGTGTTTAGGAGCATCTGCTGCTCTCATAGAGGACTCCAATTCAGTTCCTGGCACTCACTTGGTGGCTCACAACCATCTGTTAACTCCAGTTCCAGGGGATCTGACTCTTCTGACCTCTTCAGGCTCTTCCATGCATGCGGTACACAGACATACACTCAGGCACATACACATAAAATAAATATTAAAAAAAAAAAGATGAAGATGATTACTAATAAAAAAATCAAAAGGCTGGCAAGAGACTGGCTTTCTGAGAGTTAATGAGGAGTAACACAGCCCTCCAGAAGGTGGGGATTAACTGAGATACACAATGAAGGAAGGGAGCTGGTCTTCAGCAGACATTCTGCTTCTCTTGATCACCCTCTCCCTTCTCTGCTCCCGGACAAATATCACGTTCGTGTGGAGATGAAATAGATGCAAACTAGTTGGTAGAGTTTCCTGTGAGTGGAGGAGGGACATACAGCAAGTAACTGTCTGCAAAAGATGCAAATCAGATTAGGCTGGCAGATCTCCGCCTGGTACCCAGGCTTGGTTCAGCACCCTGTTTACTATTTCAGGAGGTCTTTGCCACTCAGTCAAAGGTCAAAACTTATCCCATTAGTTGGGATTTCTCCAAATTTGGCCTCAAGAACCCTCCAACACCTTGTCTTACTAAGATCCAACATAAATCTCTCTTCTTATCCAACTGGTTTCTTTGCTCACCCCATAAACATCTGTCTCAGCCTTAGCTGAAAAGCCACCTCCTCTTTAAAGACTTCTTTCCATGCACCCAAATCTTACTCATTCATAGGGCCCATCCAGGTCCTCTCTTGCAGTATTTCTGATGTTGGAATGCTCTCAGCTCTTGCAAGTCCTGTGTGCTCTGTGTGTGTGTGTGTGTGTGTGTGTGTGTGTGTGTGTGTGTGTGTGTGTGT